CGGGAATTCGTTTTGGTGAGGTATTGCCCAAAGTATCCCGTGAATCATTCAAAGAATTTGTGATGTTGCTTCATTAGTTCGTTCTTTTGTTGCTAAGTCTTGGGTACATTAATTTCTCGTTCAATTGTTTGCATTAGCTGAACTAGCTTTTGTGAATTCCCAGCGGCATGTTTAGGCTCCATTTTAACCACAATGAACCAAGAAAATTCAGTGACCTTCCCCCATACAAGTTCCTTAGTCATCGATGATTAAAGGCAAGTAGTCAATCCGGCTTTCGCACATACCACTCATGATTCACATCCATAGGGCCGAAAGTTTTCAGACTTTGCCATTCTACTGGCCACCGGAAAATGTAGCACGACTATTCAGGTTTATGCATTTATTATCTAATCCGATTGGCTGAAGTTTAGCAACTAGATTGTTTTTGGTAGTGTGAGGATAGTTGGGAATTCACAGTCGAGAATTCGTCCTGGTACTGAAGCCAGTGTATCCCGAAAGGCTCGGGAGCATTGTACAGCTGTTTCATTCTTACTTGGAATCATCAACAATGTTCACTTCACGGAACTCTGGGCAGTCTCTCCAGTATCTGATCAGCAGTACGATTAACTCGCACTTTCCACACCTAGGATCCTCACGGAAGAGATCACTTCTTAAAGTTGACCAGTTCGTTTTGGTCTTCCCATGGTGACAACCTGTCTTCAAGTAGGGAAAATACCTGTGACTGGCAGATCTCCAAACAATTATCTGTAGAAGTTGTAAAACTGGAATATTATGTCGATTTTGAGGGATAAACCATCCGAACCTGTCCCTAGTAATGCGTATCAAGTCATAAAATAAGATCACGAAGGTCAGCATAATACACTAGCCGCCAGAAACGCACACAAGTCACTCACTACTGGAACGCGCATGCAAATGGGTCGCACATTCTTGCTGGGATTCAACCGTTTATCTGGCCGATTACTTGCTTACAATAAACCGTCGAAAAATGAAAACACTGGCCTTGCTCGGTCTTCGAAGCAGGGTACGCACGAGAATTGTTAGGCGCTAGATTGACACAGCGGTTTCAATCTATGTTATGGTGTCTTTTCTGAAGTTGGATCGGCCATTGAAAATTAATATTCGACCAGCAGCTATCGCTCTCCCAGTTCTGCGCGTGAAAGTCGTGATCACCTACACGAATGGTTCCCCAAATTCATCGAATACCTATGACTTGAGGTAATTTGATCAGAGGCCTTGTTTTTTCTAATGTCCAACTTGCGTGTGGACTGCGTTTTCGTGGGAGCTAACCAAGCAGCATGGGAGCTACGGCATACAGCGCGGTGGTATCAGTATTCTTGATGCCTTGTGGAACCAACCGAACTGGTTTTCTAAATGTTCGTCGCAAACCATTACTTTTGATGGTGAACAAATCATACAGTTTCCAGTGGACGATGCAACCCGTAAAGGCCGAACCGCTATGCTGTCTTACGGGATGTTGGAATGTGCACAAACTGTTTCATCTCACAGTTCTTTATAATACTCCGGTAGTTGTTTCTGTTCTCATGGATGTTCCAGAGGTAGTCCTGAGGAACGGAGTTTCGATCAGAAATGTGAAATCACCCAAGGCCTACCATCACGTCATCGTGGCTGTTTTTGTCCAGTTATTGATAGTGTGCAGCCAGAGGCGTCTCTGACGGTTTGTCGCCTAACGGGATTATTTGTTTCGCCGTGCGACTCAAAGTTGTGTGGTGTCATCGAACAAGCGTTTTGTGCTCATATTGGATGCCCCCAAACTTTTTTTCCACTTTTTCATGTACGTGTTCAGCGTGACTATATACAAAGGCTCGGGCAACCTGACAGTATTTCTGCTCTTGTACCTTCTTCCGTTGGCATGGCAGCTAGACACCAAATGGGTGTCTCAGCTGAACTCTGTTATTATTTTTGTACGAAAAAAGGATGTTTTGAGGAAGAATTCTGCTCCATTGGTAACATCGAAAAAGTATCTTTTATTTTCATCAACTATTGTATTTTGTACCTAGTTTTTCAAATATATTCTCCATATAATCTAGCTCTGACGAGCATTTTGGTTGGATTACAAGTCCGAATAATAGTGATGACATATGACTTGATCATTTAGAACAGCCATAATGAAATGTGACATCCTCATATAATTCCGAACCACACTAGACTACCTAACTAACAGTTAAATTAGGTGGATACGGATTTACTGCACAGTTTGTGCGCTACAGGAATTAATTCATCATAATAAATGTTTTCAAGGCAGCGCTCGCTGGACTGTATGCCGCTTGTGTAACGGTGGATACTACTGATGAAGCATGCGGGTAGTCTGTGGTTGGTGTCCAAGTTCCGCTCCCACATCTGATGGAAAGTGTAGTTTATTACGAAAACTGTGGGACTGTTTTGCAGTGTTTTTTACTATTGTGTACTATTCAGTAAATTTCCGGGGAAGTTCAAGAGGACGCGTGAGAATATTCAGTTTTTAAAGACTATGTGCATATGAGATGTTTACTCTCCTCCCTACTTACCTGTAACTGCTTAGTTCATGTTTGCTAATAAATGATTTCTCAGCGAAGGGCTTTCCTCCTTTCTCTGACAGCTTCACACTTAACGGACTAAAACCGAAAATTTCGGTATAGGCCGAACTTTGGAAATTTCAGTTTATTTATATGGTAGTTCGTGCACTCAACACCTAACTTGCCGCAGTAAACTTTGGGGGAATTTTTGATGGAAAGTTAGTTAGTTTCCGAAGCAACCAACGAAAGATTCCTCTTCCCCTGGCAAATGTGCATCAATAGCTGAGACATGACGTTTATTCGAAATGTCTTTGTACCGTAAATGGATGCAAGGTAATTATCCTGACCTATGTCTTCTGGCGGCTTTCCATAAGACGACTTTAAGCGTTGTCGTTGTGGATCGGACGTTTTTATTGATTCTTATTATCGAATCCGTGTAGCTTCTGTTTATCTCTACTCATATCCAAGAAAAGTTTGGCGTCAGATTGGTTACGCCATGAAAAGTCCACGGAATGGATTTTCCAGAACGTTCTGTGTATCTTGCTGGCAGCTGCCGCACTGACTTTTCCGTATATTCATCATAGAATCACCAACTGAAGTTCCAGGCATTCACTAATAAGGAGTCTTCATCGGTATAAATTCTTACCAGGACGAAATTCGAAGATACTGTGCTGTTAATTAGTGCCGGTGTTATGATCGTGTGGGCGAGATGGCCCAAGTAGTTAGAGCGCGAATTTACTGACCGGAAGGTCCCTGGTTCGAATCCCACCTCCGCCTCTCGACTTCCCCTGTCTAGGCTTGGGCAACCTGGCAGCATCCCAGCCCTCGTGCTTCCTTCGGGTGGCATGGCAGCTAGGCACCGGAAGTGCTACAGCTGAAAGCTACTTTTTTTTATGATCGTGTTTGATGAATAAGTCTCACCCATTGATCCAACGCGGAAATGCGATGTGCTGTAGATTCTGAGGAGTGCTGTTTTTAACTTCAACATATTCCGGCACCTAGTACCACGGACTATTCATCTGTGCTGGAAAGGAGTTTGGAAAACGTCCAAGTGTGTCATGTAGTGAATCAAGTTAGAGCTGATTACTCATGATCTTTGGCCGGTGTGTCTTCTTCAGAATACTGGAAGTTATGTCAATGTAGCAGATTTGACTGGTTTGTTCAGGTGCCTAAGTACGTTTAGGTTTCCCCTCGTTTTCGCCCTCCGATCTTATTCCTTAAGGTTTATAATCAGCACAAAGCCTTCAGTTGTTTACACACCCCGCTTAGCATCGCCCGCCTGTTGTGCGTCGGGACCGGTCGGCGTAATTCAGCGTTACCGCGGTTGCCAGCCCACTATATTTCCTCATACTGCAGTCCATACAGGACCCAGACACGAGAACCATAACCACCAAGTGCATTGGGCGAGTGATCTCTTTACCGAGGTTGGTATCTAGTTTTTTCCAATAGATGCTATATTTGGCTGGTTTCCTCCTGAGTGGCCTTCATATCACGAACTCCTTTGTCAACAATGACTCGCACCTTAACTCCAGAGTTCTTTCAAGCTTGCAAGAGGGGAACATGATGAGGTACGGAGATAAAGGAGATTAAAACTCTTTTCATTAGCTAGGTAATCGTTGATAATATGAGACAGGCGTCACACAAATACCCGAGACAGAACGAGGGAACGCAGCTTATATGTCAAAACGTTAAGAAAACTGGCACCTTCGGATTGTTTCTTATCGGCTGGAGTCGGTTCAGTTGCGTGCGACTTGCAAAGTGATCTAGGTAGGATGAATGTATGTTTACAAAAATGGAAGAGGTCGCACGTTTGTTAAAGCGTGCAACAAAAGCAAATTTGAGCTCACCTCAGGTGCAGAAGATCGACACTCAACGAAGGTGAGAGGTTTACGAGTCAATTATCTGGGTTTCTAGGACATTGGAACTATAAGTAACTAGTCGATTGAATAAACTAAGTAATTTGATTCGTTTTTGTCGACTTCTCGCCGATGGCTTTGCCTCGTTTGAATACATCAGGTGGATTAATTCTTGAATTTCGGTCAGCCTTTTTCTTACGTGACTACCGGTTCATATGAAATTTACCTTCTGAAATTACACCGATATCGGGTTTTTGGCAACTTTGGATCAGTCGTTGCTCGTAACATACACCTCAAAACTCTGGCACCCTCACTGACCTCAGCGACTACTTTTGCTCTACCCGTTCGGTTGAAGAAGTCGCTTGAGTCTCACAAAAGCCCGAACTGGGTTCAGAGTTTACACCACCGTGTGAAAAGCATCGATTTACTCCACTCATGTAGAATTGTTGAACTTCCATGGCTGCACTTAACCGATGCCCCGTAAAACAGATACTAGGCTGTTGACAATTTTGGATTAGTCCTCCCATAGTCCTCATGAAGTTTGAATTTTCGATTTCAGAGAACAGGGGCAAACCACAGTTTCATTTCAGCCATGGTGTTTCATTTTTAACAACGTACCGTTCATATTTCAGAAGTATCTGGCGCCCCTATCGCAGTTTTGGGTTGGAATTCCAGGGACTATACGATTACTACGCAAGAGCGCCCGACTTTATTCAGACTCATCTTTTGTCGTTAGAAATGAATTAAAGAAAAGAGCTCCTGGGCATAATGTGAGTTGATTACTTTTGCTGCTTTCCACTACCGTCATCGACAAGTGTACTAGTCTTTGTTTGGGAATATTTAGCGTCTCTTAATTTTATTTGACTTGGTTTGAAATAGTTCAGAGGTTAAGGCGCAAGATTCTGACTGGGTAAGTTTAAGTCGATTGTCCCCATGTAGGCTCTGGCAGGCTCGATCTTCTGCAGTCGAACGGTGATGATGTGATGCGTGAACTCAAATGATCTAGTTTCGCCACATATTCTCCGTAACATTCATCTTGCCAACCCCATAAACACAAGTATTAATTGATATTGACCAACTTAAGGCTTCTCATACGGCCCTCTTGAAAGGTTGTTTTTTTGTCCGGCTTTACTAAACGTTTCGCTTTTACTCAAGTTATGGCAAACGAGGTCAAGAAAAGCTTTATGAACCCTAGGGGGGATTTTCAGCACACAGATCTCTTGCATTGTCCTTAGTCTCATTTCAAACCCAATAGACATTGACCGACATAAAGACGTCAGGAATGAGGAAACGAATCGAGCCGTTGTCACTGGCGATTTACCATCAAACTGCCATCAAAGGACCGTATAAGATGAAACGGAGTTATGACAGGTTTCAGTGCGCGCAAACAACACTTCAAACTGAGGCCGTTTTCCTCTTCAGAAGTGGAAATGGCTTGAAGCAAAACGAAGTGTTTGTTAAGTTCCCGATATTGCTGTTTAGAATCGTTGATAATATTAGGTCGTTATGATTACGAATGCCCCTACATCTGCTTCACCAGTCTGTTGAGACTCGTTTTCTAAATTAAGCTGTGCTTCAAAACTGCAACCGGTAAAGCATATCATATCATATCATATATCATATTAGCGAAATACACTCATTCACAAACTAGTTTGGTTTTGCGAGAGACTTACCTGGAACCCAGCTGAATCTCTCGTTTATGGTGTTTTCAAACAACTGTGCTGCACTAGGCCGCCTCATGTTTCACTTGGTACAATATTCGAGATCTCTCGATACATGCATATTCGTAATGCACTACCCATAAGGTTGCTGAAAATTCGTTGACAGCCCACGACCGGTTTCGCCCTGCTTCGGGCTCGTCAGGTAGGCGCATACTCACATTACACGGAAGAATCGAGGGTGTGAATGCAGCTAACATATATTCAAGAAAAGAATTGAGTTAGCATAAATCCCCAAACTACATCAGCGTCAGTAGTGTAGGAAGTCGAGTTCTGGCCATTTGTGCTTGTAACTTGTATCTGTTCGGGGGATTGTCTTTGGGTCAACGGGGGCAGATGCCGTTCAGTTCCCTGTGCAAACAGCTTCAGCACCGCACCTCTGCCGGTGCTCCCAAACACCACGAGACTGTTTGAAAATAGGTTTTTTAACCTCTTGGTTGCTCTTAAGTAAAACCGTAACAGAACGAACCAGATTTGCAACAGCATTCAGCATAGAGCGCCGCTCGGTAAGCAAATCGTTTTAATTATTCGGTTAGGGTTATTACTGTTTTGAATATTCTCTTGAGAATAGAGCTGTAAACTATGGGTTGGAACTTAGTGGTTACTGTGCTTGGTGCTATCCCTACCATCCTCCAAATATGGACAACTGCCCCAGTAGAGAGACGGGTTGAAGAAGGTGACCACTAGTTTGGCGGCAATTTGGCGCGTTCCTAGGGTAACCCAGTTGAGTCAAGGTTCTTGAGTGGTTCAACCTAGACTCCTCACCTGTTGTACCGACCATATGGTTACTCTCTTGATGGGTACTAGCCACAATGAGTGATTGGGGACATCAATAAGTTCTCATTTAAGCTTATTCACATTAGTGGCTTGCGGTGAATATAATGATGTTATCCCATAGTTGCTTCAAAACATTCCACACCACGGTGTTTGCACACAAATTTTATCCAGATGTTTGTCCCTTCTCAACCTATACCGGTCATGTGCACCATCTCTTCTACCGGACCTACCTGAGAAACGGATACGAAAAGCTACCGATTCTTAGTTTGTTTCCACGGGGCAACGCAGATGCAGACAAGAGTTGTGATGGCTGATCAAGTGTTCACAATGTATGAAAGGTCCATTACCGTAGAAGGTATTCCATCCCACAGTTCGTTAATATGCTATGCTGAGAAGCCTTTTGTTCAAGCACCTGATGACACTGTGAAACAGCTCTGATTTTTTTACAGAATAAATCTTGGTAGAGGACCCGGATCCAATAGTCGAAGGACCTGAATGGGACAAATTTGTGTGTAGAAAATGTGTTGTTGTTGACGAATATACATTATAGGTGAGCGTCAAGCCTTGTAGAGGTCACCGATATTAACAAACTGAGCAAATGTATGGCGAAAGCACCTAAACCTAGTGTGACTCACGGCAAGTGTTTGAAAGGCTCATACACATGTTATCAATGCATTTGAAAAGGGTGTGAAAAAGACTAACTTACTGGTAGCGGCGTCCGATGAAATTTGTTGTTTTGGAAGAACAGCAGAGTGATAGTCATTTCAGAGCATAAGTTTACATCCCACCACCAGACAGTTGATGGTTCTTGAGGAAGAATGATGCAGTGGACTTGAAGAATACCAAGTTACGGCCTCTCCTCTCTTGTCACGATAGCTGACTGAACGATGCATTCAATCACCTACCTGAATGATTCCGTTACTCCCAAGTCACTATTTAGACATCAAGCCGGTGCTACTTTCCACGTCCATGGTGGTTACGAATGACGCGTTTTTCACCAAGGGGCAACAAAAATATGGATTTTTACAATTTTTACTTGACCTTGGAGGCAATTAGTGACATACACGACACAAACTCACTTGCGCGACAAATTGGACTTAACGCGAGACTTAACAGGCACCCAGCTGAACCTTCCTTTTATGATAGTCTTCAACTGCACAAAGGTCGCGTCATGTTTCAGTTTGAGGTATCACAATGTGGTTTCTTGGAGGAAGACTACTCATAAAGTTGCAAATGTGTGTATGTCGCAAATTTCATACAACCTAGATTCAAATAGAACAGGAGGTTGACGGAAACTCGGGGACTATGTCTCCCTGATGAAACCCGACCTGGACCGAAGCGGTCGTGGGTTATCGAAAAGTTTTCAGTAACCTAATGAGTGGTGTTCTTTCAAGAAAACTGGTGACAGTTTCCTTTCAGAACAGAACATAAAATGCACTGTACTTTTGTGAAATAGTCTCGGTATAAGGCACGATTAATTTTCATTTAACGAAGGAATCTCGAAAACGTGACCTGTCTCTATGCCTGTCGAAAGAGTTTTTCCGTTTCTAACCTTCCAGCCACGTGCCTTCGTGAATTTACGCCGGATCGTCGTTGAGGCTGGTAACGGTGGAGATGGTTGCATTGCTTTTGAACGACTGTTCTGTAATCCGAATGGTGGGCCAAGTGGCGGTGACGGTGGAAATGGAGGTCACATTATACTGCAAGGCAAGTTCGTTTTCGAAAGTCACGTAGGAATACGCACTCGTCTGATCTCAGGCATCATTGTGCCATGTTTACTCCATGATAACGCATGCGTTAGTGTACTCTGGCTTTCGGTCAAGGGGTCTTTGATTCGATCTGTCCCGGGCTTCTTGGTTGGTTCTATCAAGACTTGGGTCGCATACCAGTATCTCGCCCCTTGTGTTTTTTTTTCAAATCGCACAGGATCTATCTAGCGAAAAAGAGATGGGAGCTGAACGATGTGCATTCTTCCTACTTACAGCTAGCCAACATGTAACCGATTTGTCCCATATTCCGTCCATTATTCGGGGCGAAAACGGAGCAAGTGGTTATCCGAGCAAGTGTAATGGAGCAAACGGTGCACATACATACATACAGGTGAGTTGCGGAACTTGGTGTTGAAGTAGTGTGGGTTGGGTTTGATGCATCGTGGCTCTTGTCTATTTTGTGGATACAAATGTTCTTAGAAGACAACTTTTGATAGCAACAGTAGATCTTGTAAAACTCTGATTGCCTATTAGCAACATAGTTTACAGCCTTCTGCATGGTACTTTGTATGCAGTAACCTGTTCCATATTACGAGTTCAACTGTGTGAGTAGACGGATATATTTTAATATGAGCCAAGGAAAAAACAGTCACAGTTAGAGTCGATTCTAATGGAGCATACTGCGACCAATGACCCATGCCACACCTATACACTTTAATTTCACGTGTGCTTTACCTCACAGACTGATGACAGTATGTGACGGACGAATTCAACGAATGCGTTTCATAGGTCAGAATTGCGTTTACCAATCTGTTCCACTTTCGACTTCAAAAAGTCTCCTCACTGCGTGTTTCAGACTAAAGTGCGAGTTGTATTGTTCTATGCCACTATTACCTCAGAACTCATGCTGGAATCGGTTGGAACCAGCGAATTTGCGATGTTGTAGGCAGGAAACGGGTCTTTAATGAAGCATACTGCACTTCACTCAAAAAATGCATCCAGCCCTACAAGCTAAGCTGACAGCCATATGTTGTGCATGCAGAGTTACCCCCTGGCGAAAAGCGCTGTCTTCTGTGTCCACTTCGGAAAGGCAGAATGGGATGAAGGATATTACGGAAGTTTGGGTGACGTTGATGCTAGTCTTCTTTCAGGATGGAGTCCACATAACCCTCCCTGCACTTGACCTGAGACAACGAACGATATAGTGATTAAGTGATATCAGCGGAGTTCATTTTGTCACTTTCTGTTCAGGTTGTCTGGTCGATTGTTAGAGGTGTAGTCCCTGGGTCCCTCTCCCTGTTTTCTTTTTTTCTTTCTCACATAAGGCTTTATTCAAATAAACAGACATGATTGTGCGGTAGTGGTCGCTGTCAATGGTGACTATAGTGATGATGACGGATTGATGGCCGATGACTGAGTCCCACGTGATTCCCGCACCAAACCAGACGTCCAGATAGTTCGGTAACCTTAGTGGCGTTGATTTAACTTACTCCCAAGTAGAGGTGGATTCGCAGAGTTAACCTTTGTATGCGGCGCGAACGAAGTGACAAACACTGGAATCAGCTTAGCACCTGTCCACTGCAGCGCGTTAAACTTACTTAAAATACACTTGTGATTTGCTATCTTTATCTTCTGGTTCACACGGTGTGTAGTTTGGTTCCAAATTCACCAAGTTTCCTTCTCCTCCACCTGAACCTTACGTTACAGATCCCAGTAGTCCTTTTAACATTATGGTTTCTACAGCTGTTCTCCGAAAACACGTTCTTTGATGATATTCAAAGATATGAAAAATTTAGCTAGCAGTTGAAGGAATGTCTGGCAGCAGGGAGTCAAACGCAGTTTTTGTGAAGACCACGGGGTTTACTTCTCATTCGGTGGTCAGAGAGAGAGGTCGGTGGCATGAAGAGAATCAGTGTTCTAGGTTTTGCATACCTAGGATTACAAATAATATGTGCGTATTCCAAAACCTTTTAATTCAGACAACGTTAATCATCTTCAAAATTTGTGTTGTTCTCCTTATTTCCATTGTCACGTGATCTCAATCACATTGCTATTTTCAGGTGCCTTTAGGGACACAAGTTTATCAACTTTCCGAATCCAAAAATGATACTGAAGATTACCCGGATCGACAGCCTACGTTAATAAACTTCCTAAGTACAGACACCGCTGTTTGTATCGTCGCTCGCGGTGGCGCTGGTGGCAAGGGGAACGCTTTTTTAACCTCTTCAGCCAGTGAAACAGACACACGGTTATCATCGAACCGCAATCCTCCGTTGCGTGTAGCAGAACGTGGTGCTCGAGGTGACCATCGTCGATTGTTGCTGAGAATGTCCGAATTAGCTCAATTAGGACTTGTTGGTGCACCAAATGCAGGGAAGTCCAGTCTACTCAGACGGCTCACTAGAGCACGACCTAAGGTAGCTCCCTACCCTTTCACAACCCTGGAGCCACAGATGGGCGTTCTAACTAACCACACAGTTCAAGACAATCAGCCGCGTTTTACAAGTGAGTTCCACACAGAGTTCCGTTCTTACTTATCGCTCTCGAGGGTATGAAGCAAACTTCGACTTTGGAAGAACCGCTTTATGCAGGTATTGTACGTCAATCCCTAGAGGTGGAACCACTTCTTTGGCAGGCATAAATCAGCCCCTTAGGGGCCTTGTTTGCAGGCATTGTACCCTAGGTCGTGACTTGTTGAGACCTCTCCAAGGTTGCAAATTTTCTTCGAACTGGGCTGTCTCAGAAATGTTCCGCCAAAGTTTACAGCGTGCGTATAGTTCTGCTTTTGATGGTTCGTCGAGGCCATTGGTTCGCAACACGAATTCGCTGATGGTATGTTAATACGCACGATTTTCTAATGGCGTGAGGGGCTATACGTAGGAATTTGATTTTTACTCATGCCTATATCAACTAAAAAAAGTTTTCAGCAACCTTGTGAGTAGTTTCCATTGTGAGAGTACTTAAACTTACTACCACAAGCGCACTCACCATTCGGGTCTTTACCACGTTACACGTTTATTTTCGACTATGCGAGCTTCGAATGAGGTCTGATTTGTTAATAGCTCCATTTGGTTCTCCAGATTCCTGGCTTGTTCACCAAACCAATCCACGACAGGATAATATATCCATTATCGACAACAGTAGTTAGCCATAAGCGTCTCTCCTGGGACCCCTCAAACTGTTTATAGCTCGCAAAGTTTCATCCAAGGTGTTGTTGAAACTCGTGAGGCTTCCTCCATCCAGTGGCATATTATGTATTTTCTATTATGTAAACTGTACTCTACCGTGAGTCTCCCGTTGTACCCAGCGACCCTGAACGTTTCCTCTGCATTTCAACCGAGCAGTCGATCCAAGAGACCCGATTTTACGTGACTAAATTTCGCCAACTGCACTAAGCCTCTTGATGAATGCGTCAAGGTTCACATTCGAGCTAGATTTACGCAGATATCCATACACAAGTGGTATTATGCTTCAACGTGTCTTTTAGAGTTCCTCTACGACTAACGAACTCTGTTTGCTATTGGGTGAAGACACTGGCAACCCAACAGTCGTTTTATGACTGCACTATAATGTGTGTTACGGTTGATTAAGGTGAAAATACGCACCATACGATTGCACACATCCCCATAACCAAGTACATTTGTCAGTTTCGGCATCAGAGACTTTCGAGTATAATACTATGTTTATCTTCTGACTCTATTCCACATTCCAGGTCCTTAATTATTCAAGAATATTTATACAGCAGATCCATCGTCCCCGTTGGTGTTTCAATGAAAATTGTCTGTTTGAGCCTTGAGATGGATTTGTGGAGTAATATCAGCTTCTTGCAATTTTCAGTACCCTTAAACGTGACAGAAATTTCGTCTCCACTTATAGTATTGGTTAGGGTAGAACTTTTATTCGTACAAACAAAGTTACCAGCACACTTGTGAGCAACCTGCCCTTCCTCGTCGCCTTCGGAGACGGTGGCTAAACAGGAAGAGTTGGTCGCTAGATCCACAACATTCTTATTTATCGCTTGAACACCAAATTCAAGCAGATAATTGATTTCAGACTACGACAGTGTGAACAGGGACTAAAGTGGATCCCAAACGAGAGGTTTGGTTAAGTCCCACCTCTTAGTTTACAAGTTGACACAAACGTCCAATTCGATTTGTAAGTAGTATGATGAGCTGCAGGAATGCCCCATAGTTTTGCCCCAGGCATCGTCGTGGTTAATACTGTTTGAAGCGAATTCGCTGGGATCTTTTAAAGCCTCAATTCGACTGATATGAGGTCCCATAAAGATTAGAAGCCAGAATATGAGCGCCAACTATAATTTACTTCTGTCAATGTGTCCATACAGGAACAAATAGATTCCTCTCAATTGTTTTCCTCAGACTATCGTTTGAATTTACTAATATTCTATCTAGCTACCTTTAAATAGCAGTTTGATGGTTATTTTATTGACATCCTCGTTGTTTTGTGTGCGAGAGGGTAGTGGCGTTCTCGTTTTCATTGCCCAATTTCCGATGAAAATCCAGCAGATTCCATTGTATTTTCTGTTTTTGCTCTGAGAATACTATTTCGCCCACGACCCGAGACAGACAGTGCGGCCCACATCCGGAAGTCCCGTGCTCTGTGTAGAAAACTCTAACTTTAGGAATGTCCAGTCTATGGACCAGGTGGTTAGAGCGCTAATTTACTGACTGGAAGGTCCGTAGTTCGAACCCGACCTCTGCATCTCGACTTCCCCTGTCTAGGCTTGGGCGACCTGGCAGTATCCCAGCCCTCGTGTGACAAGGCAGCTAGGCACCGACAGGGTGCTGCAGCTGAACGACTTAATTTTTTTATTTCAGTCGGATCTAGTTCGTACAGGCGGTCATGTTTGTGCGCTCACCCATGTCACTTTTCTCTTCTCCATAGTTGCCGATCTTCCTGGATTGATTCGCGGTGCCGCAGAGTATGACGCTGGTCTGGGTGCCAAATTTCTCAGCCTGGTTGCCGATTGTCGTCTACTTATGTTGGTCGTTGATATCGGGACTATCTGGAAAGAAAACGGTCTGGAGAGCCGTGACGACTGGCGCCATGAGCTGCATACTGAAGTCTTGAACCAATTGTTGATGTTACGGCACGAACTTGTGACATTTGATAGGAACCTTGGTGATACCGAACGGTGTATGGTTGTTGGCACCAAATTGGACCTTATTTTATCACATCCGCTGAACACAAATCCAGACAATGTTTGTCTGGGTCGTGACGTCACGCACCAGCTAAACAAGGTGGTTGGTGAAGCGGCCACTGACTCCGGAGTTTTGACTGAAGCGAACGAGGGCAACGTTGTGATTGTTTCGGCCAGGCGAGGTGATAATATACATATTCTCATGCACAGATTGAACTTACTAGCTGAGCCTCGAAAGGATTGAACTGCACCGCTAGTGTGCCATGTATATATTTCTCCAGTGCCAATACACATCTCTTCACGCCTTACTTATTCGTCGAGCTTGGGGTGGCTCAGTGGTTAAGGCCCGAACTTCCAATTCAACCCTAGCATCTTGACTGCTCCTGTCTAGCTTGGCAGTATCTCCTCACTCGTGCTTCTCCAGGGTGACATGTTAACTTTGCACCGAAAAGATATTACAGGTAAACGATTATCTTTATTTATATACTAATCTACGTCTTATGTTACTGGCTTACTTGCTGATGGCCTAACTGTTTTATTCATCCTTACTATTGAAACGTAATCGGATCTTGAAAACGCCGTCCGTAACCAGATTGAGCATGGTTGAGACGCGTGGATTACCTTGAATAACCGTTTAATTCCCATGTGTGTAACTGGCGGCATATGGTGCTGTGAACTTGCTCTTCGCTCTTATCTCCCTAAAGGCAGTCCGTCCTCTCAGCCAAAGCTTAGCTGCTGAGTGTAACAGTTAGACCGCTGGGTTTAAAGAAGCGATGATCCTTTCAGGGGCAAATAAGTTCTTAAACATCACAAGACCCAGCCACTTGTCGTTGTTAGACACACATGTTGCTTGAATTAACCAGATTACTTTTAACCGTGGAGCTGTTCGTAGCCGCATAAAGGTTCACAGTTTTTTGTCACTCAGTCAGATATCCGATATTCTATGGGGCTTATTGGACACTTTCCTTGGGGCACTAAATGTCGACTGATGCACATGACAATTTCCTGCTGTTTTGTTTGTCCAGGTGACATCTAATTCAACACCCATAGTTGCGGATTTCTTCTAGTTCCTGTGAGCTAACAGCATATTTGCCAGAGAGAGCTAGAGCTTGTGGTTTGTGAAAATTTACGCCGTGATTCGTAGAGGCATAATTCATTCACCACCACACTTCTATGGCCTTCAAAAGAACAGGGAGTAGCGTGTGGGTGTAGTTCGGTGTCTTTCTTGTCATCAGGTGGTATAACATCCTGTTTCTACAGTCAGGATCGCTATCACGTCAAATAACACCTCGAGATAGAATGTGGAAGGTTCTTTCGGCAGGCGGTCGTAGGCCCATAGTTGTCAAGCCATTTTTCCGGAAGCATCGCCTCGAGGAATTAGTTTTTCTGGACCGTATCGGCAGCCAGAACTACTTCTATAGTGTCACAGGGTACTGTGAATATGCATAAAAATCGGATGTACCTCGGTGGTTGGTGACAGAGTACTGCGCTTCCGTTTATCACTTACTGCCCACCATGCCTTCAGACATTACTGTATTCAGTATTCTGTGTTGCGTTCGGCACGTACTCTTAAGACGTTGGGGGATTTTTCATACAAAAATACGGGGCTTGATCGCCGACGGAATTTTTCCCTTCATAAATTCCATACTGTGATTCCGAATGTGAGTATTTTGCCTCCAACTTGTTGTCGATCTTATGAGTGGTAGTGATCCCAATGTGTAACTGAATGAAGAAATCGCCACCCAGATATTTTACTGAGGACATCTTGAACGTTGGTACAACAAGCCCTTAGGTGCTGTTTCTTCAGTGAAGAACTATAATATTGAGTCGCTCATGTTGTTGGCCGACAAAGTGGAGGGCGATAGAGTTTCGCTTTTCGGGTCGTTTTCTGTATTATTCACAAACTTCGGCTGGTTATCAGGTTCGATCGTAACGTGGAACGTCAGTGGTGGTGCGAATGTTGGGTTCTGGCAGGACTGATTGCTTGTTGTACCAGGATCCAGAACTGCAGTCACTCCCTTTTCGATATTTCTGGGCCAGGGCATCGCTGAACAGGATTCGTGTGCCTTTTCCCTTGGAAGCCGTCGAAACATAGTGCGTGGAAAGTGTGTTGCGACTGGCACCTACGGCACCCTATTTGCTTGCATCCTTTATTTTAAAAAAATCCCAGGATTAATCGTCTGGCCTAGACCCCCACCCGGTAAAAATCAGTGCCCCCATTATGAGCATAGCAGGTCTAACGATGTGTGAGTTCTATTTTCTAAACTCATTTTCATTTCAGAGGATGTACTCCGAACTTTGTCCCTGAGCTAGCTGGTACTGCATCCGTACATAATGAATGACACTGTCCTATGATTGATCCTACTACACAGCTAAAGATGATGTACCTAATGACTTTTTCGATAAAAAAAAAGAGAAAAAAACCTTCGATAGCTTAGATTACTGAAAATGACCTTAGTTCCACATAAAACAGAGTTCAGGACAACACTGTGTGAAGTTAGTCAAACACAAATGTTTTTTATTGTATCTAAATAAATCACCGTTGAAGTATTACTTCCGTCAACGCGGTTATTACACTGGTTATGGGACCAGCACTCGAATCGGATGCCTATTTTAGCCTACCGATATCCTTTCGTTTGTGTTCCCAGTAGTTGGCTTGCCATGTTTTTGCTTTTGAGCGAAACAACCGGTTTAAATCCGTTGCTCCACTGCCTAACCGTAAATTCCTGATGGTCATATAGTCGAACGGGGCTGTCCTGTTTCACCTTTCCTCTTCGACTTCAGTGTTTGACCATCGATTTCTTCGGAGCATTGCCCGAATCTGTTGGGAACACCGGATCAGCAACGCTGAAGTTCGTCGAATTGTATTCGGGAGAAATAACTCACCCTCGATAGATGAACTGATCACACAGCGTCGGTTGCGCCGGCTTGGCCACGTGCCGCGTATGCCAGTTGACCGGTTTCCTCCAAGGGCTCTTTTCGCACAACCCTGTAGGGTGGAAACGAGTCGGGGGCGGTCAGACAATGACTTGGCAGTGAAGTGTGAAAGCCATTACCAGCAAACTCAGCTGCGCTGGTCACTGCCGTCTTCCTGGATGGGGACCACAAGACAGGCCACATCAATGGCTAGAGACATTGTCAGACATGGCCCAGTCGCGCCCTTAATGGCGCTCATGCATCCAAGCTATTGCCTTCAGTCCACAGCTCCCTTCTCAATTCCCCTGATTAACAGTCCACCTACAGTGCTGTATTTACGCACTAGTTTATCAGCTCCCGCCTCCAATGCGCAGCTACCTACCCCACCTCCCCGAATAATCAGTGGACGGAATTGTGGCAGCTACAACCCATTCGACAAGCACGCGGTGATTACAGCTGATAATGATGATGATGAACGAATAAACAGCACACCTGGTGAAAACAGGTCTCACATATTGTGCCATAAGCATCTTGCCAGGTTAAACATCCTATTAAATAAAAATAGTGGTAGATTTGGAAAGCAACAACAGAGACTTGTTGTTTTCATTCCGTCAAATTTTTAATCATTTTTCACTTGTGTACGTATTTGAACTCCAAGAAATGTAGTCTAGTTTGTGAGCTGAACACAGGACGTTCCCAACAAGCTGTTTTTTTTCACGAAGAGATAAATGGCTGCATTGCACTGGCCGGATAGCTCAGCAGTTAAAGCAATCTAATGCGTACCACGGCTAGATGTTTTTTTAGATTGTTCAGTCACTGTGTCTATTCTTCTACCTCTTTCTACGGAGGTGAACTCGAAACAGAGCTACTTTGGTACTTAAAATAACCCACCACGCCGCTATAGCCCCAAGGACGTCTTTAAACCACCGTAACCCGTGACACAGGTAAGATATCAGTTCGTAACCAAATGGACAACGTTTCCTCTATGAGTATGAATCTTGAGCTCTTAAGGCAGAAAATAACAATGGGTCGCTTGTGTTAGATCACCGCCTCAGACGAAGTCTCCCTCAAACGCGGTGGTGGCAACAGATGAACAACGCACAAGTTGGACGATTTTCTGTGGAAAACTATATAACTTCAAATAGAGGAACATCCTCTGATTGTTGGAGATGTCTTATTAATCCGTCGCCCGCACTGAGTTAGCTCATGTGCGCAAACAAGGGAATTTGTCCTTTTGATCTGGATCTATACTTTCACCGCACATCAGTATCCTTTAAATGTGGTTGCAGCTGGCACCCATTTTATTGTAGTCTCCAATGCCGTTTACTCGGAAGGCATCCTTCGAACTTGTCAGAGCCACATCTGCCGGTCACTTGATGGGCTCAGTAAGTGTGAGACCCGGATCGTGCTTGTTCACGACTGATTGGAGTAATTGAACCAGCAGGAGTGTTGAAATTAGTGATGTGAAAGTGGATTCAACAAACACCGCGACCATCTATGACTAACCAGTAGGACAGCACCACAAATACCGACGGAAAGGGTGCAGCAGGATACGGAACCAAATCATCCGAGAGGCGACAGAAACTATTAGTTACCTGAAAAGCCTCATGTACGGTTTCATGACGATGCATCTATATCGATTGTAATTGATGAGATGAACGAACTATTTACTCAAGATACCCTAAAAGTTGTCAAATACATTAGCTCAAGGAGCTTTGTGATTAAATGATAAAACCGTTGAACACCGATTCAGATTGAAGGATAAATGATTGTTTAAAAAGGCGACGATTCTGAAAGCTGTCCTTTAGAGTATTGAAATCGAATCGTGGACCAGAAATTCAGCCCCTGATGCATCTGGAACACCTGTCAAAAGCTAAATACATCCGGAGAAATTCAATACATGGAGACGACCTGTTCAGCATTATCCAAGAGCTCACCCAGCAAGGCTGAAACCAAAGACTAGGAGTTCAAATTATTGGTTGGGAGGACGGGCGCGGAACCTCCCTAGAGTTTTGTTAGGATTGAAATGCTGATGATTCTCGATAAGGGAATGCTGTTCAGAGCAGATTGGTTTCACTCACACGAGAAATCACACAGAAAATAACCTGAAACAAAGACCACAGAAGTGCGCGACCTGCTGCAATAAGTAAAATTTGTCATTTTGTCTCGAGTAATATTCCACGTTTAGAGCACATGATGCGAGTAAATTTCGGATGGGAGTCAAATAGAAAAAAACTAATACGGAATAAGAACAAAAATAGCAAATTTTTCCGAAGATTAGGTAGTTCACTGAATGGCCACTTAGTTGTCGAGTAGCTCTATAGGATTTAGTTGGCGAACACCCCCTCCCCCATCGAATAAAAATCTTATAGGGGGATCAGTTCGATCAGGTCCTACGAGTGGTTCCCGCTGATGAGGATCAACATATGTACAAATAATTATATTTATATATGCTAATCCCTCTCAGCGGATCCATTTGGGTACTTTTGTAGGATTTTTATCCAAGGAGCTTAACCAAAACCGCTAGTGTTATGCGTGCTACTCTGAATGTTTTTCAACGTAGGGAGAGCCTTGATCGAAACCTACTACTTGATCTGGGATAGTTAGTTATGTCTCGACAAAACTCTACCGTGTAATTCCGTAAAACTCGCTGGATATCCGATTAAAAGCAACCCCTTAGGTCCCATTTCGTGTGTCAACATAATATGTCTTTGTGTATTTCAAGCTGCACCGGCCTAACACATATTCTGATCCCGAAACCCATGCCTCTCCTCACACAGGCTTCAGTTGAGCTGATTTCGAGTATGCGACACGGCCAGATTCTACTTTGGACAAAAAGGGCAAATCCATTCCGCCTCGGAATGCGAAGATGCAGGTGATAACTTCACAAACCTAGGCACTACCCAGATTTGCCAGCGGAAGCATTCCGCCTCCAAACTATAACTTGGTAAGATTCATTAACCTGTGGGTCAGAGCTATTTGACAAATGTTTACTGAAATTCGACACCCTAGAGTAAAGAAATGAGCCTCAACATCGCTGGCCCTTCACTATGCTTTCGCCAAAAAGTGATATCCGAACTGCAAACTTAGCCTGCTCACCCCATTTTGTTCCGATCGTTCCGCTTAGGGCTGAACAAGTTACGAAAACGCATGGAGGGTTCAAAAGGCATAGGATTTTTTTGTGGCAACACAGTCTAAAAAAACGATAAAAAGAATGGAGCGCACCAAAAGAATCATGCAACAAATCAAAAGTAATTGAAGGTTTAACAAAGACGAGCGATACAGTCAAACTGTAAAATAAAAATTATGCATAGACCATTTGTAGGCGGATTCTAAACTAATTATTTGACGTGACCAGCAGTAAGGAATCTTGAGAACCAAGCTAATGGATCGTGTACGAGGGTGTCAGATATAGCAGACCGAGAAAAGTGCTTAATAAACTGCATGATAGACTGCGCTGTTGTGAGTCCAAACAGAAATCCTCCCAGTATGATGTACAACATTGCCATCGCAATGCCAGCGCTTGATTTGGCGCTTAGATTCCCGGGGGACTGTCTCAACAAAACGTTCAGAAAACACAGTCCTGGAATAGAACAGAGAAGGTTTGAGTAGTAAACAGTGGACCGCATGTCACTTCAAAGATAGAATACAAGTATAGAAGCATATGCTCCAAATTTCGCAAAAAAAACAAGTCCTAAGAACAACAGAGCTCGATTAGAATGCTCGCGGTTTATAACATCGTATGGTGAGTCTTCTTTGAAA